CACATCATTTCACCTCCCTGTACACCAGCGGTAAGGTCTCTCAGCTAGTTAGTGGTGGAGCCAACAATTGAAGACAGGCAGTGTGGCTCCAGTCTGTCTTGTAACCCTCATACTATTACTAGGTGATTGTGAACATTTTAAATGACAAGAGAATGCATAAATACTCTTTGTGTTTTTTTGCAGTGCTGGGATTGAACTTGGGACCTTGCACATGCCAGGCAAATGCCTTACCACTGAGCCATATCCACAATGCCAGGCAAATGCCTTACCACTGAGCCATATCCACAGCTCAATAAGCACACTTTAAAATAAAAATTCAAGCTGCACGTGGTGGTACATATCTGTAATCCCAGCACTCAGGAGACCAAGGCAGGAGGATTGCTGGAAATTTGAGGCCAGCCTAGGCTACATAGTGACTTCAAGGCCAGCTTAGACTACACAGTGAGACCCTGTCTTAAAAAAAATTCAAAAATAAAATAAAAGATTCTTTGAATTCCTTCCATTACCAAAGGCACTCCTATTAATTTATAGTATATTCTTGCCCCATCCTTCTGTGTGTTTACATATTTGCTTTAGCATCTAAAGAAACAGTGTTTTGTTTTGTGTACTTTTTAAACAAATAGAATCATACTGAATATTGCTTTACTACTTGGCAGCATCACTTAATAATGTGCCTTGGAAGTCTTTCCAGCCAATCAATGTATTCTGTGTGTGTGTGTGTGTGTGTGTGTAGTATTGGGGCTTGAACCCAAGGCCTTTGTACTGAGCCACACCCTCCAGCCTCCCTTTTATTTAAAAAAAATTTTTTTTGGTATAGGGGATCGAACTCCGGTCCTTGCTCTTGCGAGGCAGGCGGCGGAAGCACCGAGCTAAATCCCCAGCCCTACCTTTTATTTTTTTATTTTTTATGTTTTTTGCTACTGGGGATCAAAGTCGGGACCTTGTGCTTGTGAGGCAGGTGGCAGAACCACTGAGCTGAATCCCTGGCCCTCTTCCTTTTATTTTTTATTTTGAGATAATGCCTTGCTAGATTGCCCAGGTTGGCCTCGAATTTGCAATCCTGCCCCCAGCCTTCCAGAGTGCTGGGATTACAGGCATGTATCTCCACATTTCGCCGGTCAATGTGCTCTTTAAAAACATTAATGTACTATTCTGCAGTAGGAGCGTGTCGTGGTCTTTTGGTGGACATCTAGGCTATTTCCGATTTGCTCCTGTCACCAGGGCCGTGGTACACAGTGTTGTGTGTGCCAAGCATGCAGGGTTTACTGAGCATAGGGATCTGTAAGTGGAATTGCTGGCTTGTAGGACACTGTCATGTTGTCCTTGAGGCAGGCGGCCTCTGACAGTGCTGCCTGCCATGAACACGTCAGAACATGGTCACGAGGGGCTGTGAGGTGGTATCAGGAAAGACAGAGGTTGGAAGGGCGTGTTGGCTTCAGCTGGACCCCACGATGGGGGCTGGGGCTGCCACTGGCTTCTGCTTCATGAGGCCTCTTGGTGACAGTGGTGGGGTTGCCACCGAGGGGTGCCAGTGTGAAATGTGGAAGCAGCGTGAAGCGGGAGGAGTGTGGCTTCCAGGGCCAGAGGAGCCTGGGTCCCCAAACAGCTCTTTCTTGCTGTGTGACTCCGGCTTACCAGGGCCTCAGCTGCCAAACAGGGAAGATGCTCCCTGTCCCAGAGTGATTGACTGGCTTAGGGACTGCCATAAATGGAGATGATAGTGCTGGTTTGGGGTCACTCGGGCTTTGGTTTGAGGCCTTGCATTGCCCCAGACTGCCTTTGGGAAGCCCCAGAGTCAGAGCTCTGACAGCTCTCCTGCCTGGGACCAGGGCTCAGAGGCTGCTCCCTCCCATGCTTTCTCCCCTGTGAAAGGCACGGCAGGTCACTGGGATTCTTCTGGGGACTCAGGAGCCTCTTCCTGGCGGCAGCCATGGCACTGCAGATGTCATACAGAGTCTGCGATGGAGCAGGGAAAACTAGAAGAGGGGGAAAGCCAGCCCTCCTTTCTCCCTGCTGACTTGGGAGCAGACACTTGTGTGGTGGAGGTGGGGGAAGGCGCACATCTTTTATCCCAGAAGTCCCCAGTTTTTTGGCACCAGGGACTAGTTTCATGGAAGACAATTTTTCACTTATGTGGGTGGTGGTTTGGGGATGATTCAAGTGCAATACATTTGTTGTGTGCTTTATTTCTATTACATTGTGCACTTTACTTTTATTATTCTTACATTAGATTCTCATAAGGAGCATGGATCCTAGATCCCTCACATGCACAGTTCACAGTAAGATTCATGCTGTGGTGAGAATCTAACCCCTCTGTTGATCTGGCAGAAGGTGGAGCTCAGGCAGTGATTTGAGTGGTTGGGAGTGGATACCAGTACATAAGAGCTTGGCTTGCCCGAAGCTCACCTCCTGCTGCACAGCCCACTCCTAACAGGCCACTGACTGGTACTGGTTCATGGCCAGGGAGTTGGGGACCCCCACGCAAACCCACAGCCTGAGGCACTGCATAGTGAGTCAGAGCATTGATCCTGATATCTTGTTCTGCTTTGGGGAGCTGCTGAAGGACGGTTCCCCTGAGGGTGCTCAGGACCACCCCAGCCCTGTTTCACATCGCTGAGCCAGCACCATGGCCAAGGTGCACTTGCTCTCTGTCGGGTGCCATGTGTGCATACATCATCCATGCCTCACAGTGACTCTGAGCTAAGCACTCTTCTCTCCCGCTTTATACCTGTGAACACAGAAGCTCTCTCCAGGGCTGGGGATGTAGCTCAGTGGTGCCACTCCTGCCTGGCAAGCACAAGGTTGAATTCCCGGTACTGGAAGAAGAAGAAGAGGAGGAGGAGGCAGAGGAGGAGGAGGAGGAGAGGAAGAGGAAGAGGAAGAGGAAGAAGGAGGAGGAGGGGGAGAGGAGGGGAAGGGAAAGAGGAAGAGGAAGAAGAAGAAGGAAAAGAAGAAGAAGAAGAAGAGGAAGAAGAAGAAGAAGAGGCAGCAGAAGAAGAGGAAGAAGAAGCAGCTCTCTCAAGATCACAGAGCGAGTGAAGGGCAGAGGAATGATTTGAAGCCAGATTGCACAATGCTGCCCCATCAAGACAGAGGGAGAAATCTAGAGCCTCTCTTAGGCTACTCTTTTTAAGACTTGCCCTTGATATTTGTAGAATAGGTTTCATCTGAGTAAACATAGAGGAACGCCCTTTCCTGCACCCCCATTCCAGAGCGAGCACCCCTGGTCCGGTGGGCAGACAGCCTGCAGTGGGGCTTTCAGCACCTCGGACAAGGCACCAGCGCCGAGAAGAGAGGAGGCTGGGAGAGGAGAGGAGCCAGGAGGTGGAGAGCTTGGAGAGCTCAGGGCTGAGAGAGGGGTGGCAGTGCTGGCTCTGACGCTCCCTGGCATTGACACTTCTTGGCTTTGCCTCCTCCGCCTCCCTTCCATCTGCAGAGGGTTGCCTGGGAATCTGGTTCTCTTCCTGCCTCCTTCTAACCTTTCCATCTCCCTACACCCAGCCCACTTCTCTGGGAACAGATGTGTGTCTGGTGTGACTGGAGCCCAGCTATAGCATGGTGAGTCAAAATCTTGGTCCTGACATCTTGTGCTGCTTTGAAGAGGCCAGAGCTGCTGGCAGAAGAAGTTGGGCTCTCGTGCAATTTAGAAAATGCTGGGCAAATCCCTGGTTTCAAGGCCCAAGTATGTTCCCAGGCAGCACACACACTCTCTGCGTAGTTCTGGATGGATTTTACACACCGACACTTAGTCAAATTGTAAATATAGGTGGGTCTCACTTTGATGTAGAAAAGCCAAGTTGATCATGACACAAAGGGGAGATACCCAGGGCCTGCTCTGTGGCAAGGATCAGGGTTCCATCTGGAATGGAGGAGGGCTTCATGTCCCACTTCCACGGGGCTCTAGGGGCTTCCTGCTAGCAACTAGAGACCTCAGGATGGTCTCTGAACCCTCCGGAAGGGTGGGCCTTTTTAAACTGTTGTGCCTGTGAATAAATTTCATGAGCTTTTTATTTTTCTGGAGAAAGGTTTTTTGTAGATTTCATTACATCTTCAAAAGGTTTATGAAGTTAAAAAAAAAAAAAGTGGAAACAAACAAAACCCTCTTGGGCTACAGCATCATCGGTGCAAAGCCTCTGTTGAGCCTGCTGCTTACCAGGTGGCAAAGTCAAACTTGAACCTCTCATGCCTGTGTGCTCCTCTTCGTGGCTGCCAAGGGGCAGCTTCTTTCTCCTCCTTCCCTTCTCCCCTCTCCCCATATTCCTGTTACTGTGGAGAGCAGAGATGTCTGCCAGCCCATAGTGCAAATGAGTTGTAAAATGCCAAGATCTCTAGCATCCCTAGTAATTTAATTGCAATCATTTGTTTTGTGCACACATTCTCAAAAACAAAAACAAAAACAAACCCAGACACGTGGAGCATAAGGGTAATTGCACCAGCAAAAACCATTATCCCCAAATATGAAGAAAATCCTTATGCAAAGAAATTGGTGAGCTCTGGAAGCAGCAAGTTTTCTTTTTCAAGTTCTGTTCAACTGCAATTGATTTTTGAAGTGCCAAAGGCTTTGGAAGATTCTGGGGCCCATTGTAGTGCACTGGTCTGTGCTGAGGTTGACTCTGCGGGCATGGTTGTTCTTCGGAACCACCTGACTTGTGACTGGGGTGGTGCTGCTCGCCTCACTGAGCTGCCTAGAGCTCTTTGTGAAGTTCTGGGCCAGGATCAGGGCTCAGTCTGGGTCTGTGCTTGTGGCTTAGTTGGAGACCTGAGTTTATCACTGATGTCAGGGTATGGTTCTGAGCCAGGGTCAAGGTTCACCTTGGACTCAGGGTGCAGCCACAATCTGGGACTCCAACTGGGGCTCAGTCAGGGATCCGGGCTCAGTTCATTGGTGGGACTAGGGCTCTGTCTAGAAGCAAGGTGGAGGTCAAGTCTGTGGCTAGGATCAGGGTCAAACTAGGGCCATTTCTCAGCTGACTCATGTAGCCTTGCCTTCCTTTCTACAGGTGCCCAAGACCCCACACCCAGGGGTGGAGTCTGCTGACAGCAGGCGTCTAGCCACCAAGCACAGCAGGAAGGCCTTGAAGGCCAGCCTGACACTGGGCATCCTGCTGGGCATGTTCTTTGTGACCTGGCTCCCCTTCTTTGTGGCCAACATAGTCCAGGTAATGCCACAGATGAGTCCAGGACTTGGTGGGGAGACCCTAAGCCTCACCCCAGCCCAGGGTGGGCCACCTCCCATGATGCCTATGCTTGTGTGTCTGTTCCATTCATGTGGGATGGGTGGTCAGGGTCCCTGCCTGGGGTCAGGCGTGACACATCCTGTCCCCCCAGGCCGTGTGTGACTGCATCTCCCCGGGCCTCTTCGACGTCCTCACATGGCTGGGGTACTGTAACAGCACCATGAACCCCATCATCTACCCACTCTTCATGCGGGACTTCAAGCGGGCCCTGGGCAGGTTCCTGCCCTGCCCCTACTGTCCCCGGGAGCACCGGGCCAGCCCGGCATCCCCCTCCATGCGGACCTCTCACAGCGGGGCCCGGCCTGGTTTGAGCTTGCAGCAGGTGCTGCCACTGCCGCTGCCTCCAGACTCCTCAGACTCAGACTCGGGTGGCTCCTCTGGCCTGCAGCTCACAGCCCAGCTGCTGCTGCCTGGAGAGGCCACCCAGGAACCCCCGCCACCCACCAGGCCTGCTGCTGTGGTCAACTTTTTCGACATCCATCCGGCAGAGCCCGAGCTTCGGCTGCACCCACTTGGTACCCCCACGAACTGACGAGGTTTGGAGCTGCCCAGTGGGAGCTGGACTGGATGGGACAAACTCTCTGAGGCCCTGAGCCAACTCTTGGCTAAGGTCAGGAAACTGCAGATGTCTTGGGAGCCTTCTGAGCTTCACAGGGTGCACTGCTCCAGGCCCCTGAACTGGAGGGAGGAGAGCTGCTTGGGCACAGCCCACTGTGGAGGTTCTGCCATTGAGAATGAGTCCAGGATGCTGCTGGACTGTGGGAGCTGGGACACACGGCCTCTTGGTTCAGATTAAGTTAAAAGCAATCCTCGGGGCTGGGAATTTAGCTCAGTGGTTCTGCCGCCTGCCTTGGAAGCCCAAGGTCCCGAGTTCAATCCCCGGTACCAAACCAAACCAAACCAAACCAAACCAAACCAAACCAAACCAAACAAAAAGCAATCCTAACCTTTGTTCCTTCTCTCAAGCTAGTGGTAGGGAACACTTTTTCTGTGGACAGGGGTTCATGTATGCAGTCCTTGGACCATCAGCAACCTTCTCACCTCCTGGGAGTTTGTGCAGAACACATCTTGCCTGCCTCAGACCTGCTAAGTCGGGATTGGATGTTAACAAGGTCCCTGGTGATAGAGTCCAAGATGTGCTGGCTGAGATGCCCTTTAGCCCTGAGGAGGACTTGCTGGATGCTTCTCAGACCTGCCAGCCCCCAGGATGTAAATGGCAGCACAGCAAAACCTCTGAGCTGAGCCTGGGAGTCAGGCAGGCACAGCTTTAGGCCTCTGCTCATCCTCCTTGCTCTGGGGCTGGCGCAGGTTCCTTAACCTCTCTGAGTCATGGGTGTCTCAAGAGTAAAGTGGGGGTAACAATGCCACTTTCTAGCTTTAAGACTCACAACAGTGCACATGGTGTGGCCTGCTGTTGTTGTAACCCCTGGTTTGCTTGTGGGCCAGGAAGGGCTATTTGTTCCCACTTTTCTTCTTCTTTTGCAGTGCTGAGGATGGAATCCAGGACCAGTGCTCTAACACTGAGCCCACCCTCTCAGATCCAGATTCCCACCACCTGGCTCTGGTTCTGCAACTCCTTTTCTGGGTGCCAGGTGGGGCTCCCATTGCTCAGGGACCCTCCCAGTCCCCAGCCTCTGCCGACCCTTCTGGGGCAGAGGGGCAGATGGCAGTTTCTTGTTCAACCTCAGGGATGGGTTTTGCTCCACCCTGGATCCGGAAGGGAACAGCTATCCATCCCCTTGTCCTGCTCCCTTCTGTCCTTCCCTGGGGCCAGTGAGGGAGACTGGAATGGCGGCCACATGGGCCCACAGGGCAGAGTTAGAGAACTGACCCTGGTGTAGGGTGGGGCAACAGGCAGGTGGGTAGATTCTTTTTGGGCAGGGGATGTGGGAACTCAGTTTCTAGTTTACGTGCTCTACTGGAGTTTTTCTTAAAGCTTCCAAGTTCTATCACCCACCCCCTCAAACTCCCAGGGGCCTCTGCATGAGGCCTGGCGCTCTCCTTGGTGCTGATCAGACTCAACTGGGTCCTGGTTGCCTTCTGCTGGGGCCACGGTGCTTGCTGGGGCTCCTTGGATGCCACCAGACCTGCTGAGGGCAGTGTCAATAAACACAAGATGAAGAAAGTGATCACGGTGTGGACTGAATTCTATAGAGGGGCTCCAAGGGGCTTGAGTAGCAGCTGGGGAGTGGTACCCAGGGCCCAGGTGTCCTGGCTTCTGGTCTGGACTCTGCCTTGACTTTGCTTTGAGGCCCCAGCAAAATCATTTCCCAAGTTAGGGCTCAGCTTACCATGTGAGACAGGAGTGATTTGGATGAGAAACAGAAGGGCGGTGTAAATGTTGCTGAATGAACAAATGCATATGCTGAGATACCATCCGGCTCCTGCATTCTGGGACTAATTCCTCCTGCCTTCCTTCCACCTTCCCAGAGCTTGGCCATGTGTCTGCTGCCTGGGCGGAGGGAGGGTCACCTCTGGCCCTGCACTCTAGAGACAGTGTGAGGAACAAAGAGGAAGCCACTGGTAGATATGGACAAGGTGGCTAGGAGCTTGGGCTCTGGAGTCCCACTGGCTGGGGTTTGGCTCCTCCACTGACTAGCTCTGCAACCTTTGGTAGGCTACCCAATCTCTCAGAGCCTGTTTCCCCAAGTATAAAATGATGACAACAACAGGTACTCAATGGAGATTCTGAAGGCTGACATATAAGCACTGGGTATGTGGTAGGTACTTAATACATGCTGGGTGCTGGTATTGTTTATTATTGTTATCATGCCTGTTCCTGCTACAGGGCATCCTTCCCCTGTATAATCCATTGTCACCAGGCTCTCATCACACCACTTGCTGATTCCTCACTTACTCTTCCTGTCCTTTTTAGCTACATCCAGACCCACCATACTGCATAACTTTAGGGTGCTGTTCACATCACATCTTTGTGACTGCTGCTCCTGTATTGTACAGTGTGCAGCCTGAATGGCTGTACAAGATAGACCTGATTGGATCTAGGAGCAGTGAGAGGAAGCTGTTCCCTTGGCACCTGGGGCTGTTCTGTAGGTGGCCCCTGGTGGGGCCCCTGGGTGGTAGGCAGCCCCAGACTGTGGATGGAAGAGCAGGCAGACACCTGGCTTCACTCTGGCCCCACAGATCCCCTGGAGCCCATGAGGGACAGCCAGACCTCTCAGCTGGGCTCAAAGTGCAGGGAGCCCACAGAGTCACGGCTTGACATTTCAGGTCTCTGCCCTTGCTTTCCCGGAGAGGCAACATTTTATCCCCCAAGTCGGCTTCCTTTAATTCCTCTTCAATCCCAATTCTCTCAGCTCACAAAGGCACTTGTAGAAATCTCCACCTTTAGAGCTCACCTGGAGCCTGGGTGGGTAGGAGAGAACTGCATGTAGAGTTCAGGTCCTTGCTGGGGTCAGTCCAGCCCTGGGCAGGGCCCCTGGGTCTCGTGGGCACAGTCAGGGCAGCCTAGTGGGTTGGGGCCCACACCATGGCTGCAGATATGGGCACTCTTGGCTGGGCCTGCACTAGCAGGAAGTGAGGCCCCTTCAGACTGGTCCAACTCTGCTGGCACCTGGGTGTGGCTGGGGTCAGGGGACTCAGCCACATTGGGGGTGTCTCCAGGTGCAGGCTCCTGGGTTTGCCCATCCTGGTGGGAGATCTGGTCTGCTGAGGAAGCGGCTGTGGCCTGGCAAGGCTCCTCTTGGGTCTGGCTCCCTGGGGCCAGCAAGAGCCCCTTCTCACCCCAGCCTGGCTTTGTGTGGATGCCCACAGCCTTCAAGATGATGTCCATCTGCTTGGCGTAGTCCAGGTGGCCACTGACCTGCAAGAGGACAGGGAGCAAAGGTCGGTGGGGGGGTGCCAAGCTATGGGCCCTCACCAACGCCGGAACTCCAGCTCTCATGACGTTGCTCAAATCAAGCAGAGTTCAGAGCTGCTTTAGAATTTACTAGAGATGGAAAATGCTTCTCTAGCTTCTGGCCAATGAGATGATTACGGTTGGAAGGTGTCCCTCAAAGTTCCCACACTGGGAACTCAACCTCCCATGCCAATGTGTTAAGAGGGGGGAACTAAGAGGAGACTAGGTCACAAGGGCTGTGTCCTTGTGCAGGGACTGAGGTCATTGTTGTGGGAGTGGGTTACTCATCCCAAGATGGGGCTTGTTATAAAAGTGGTGGCACACATCTGTAATCTCAGCACTCTGGGAGGCTGAGGCAGGAGCATTGCAAGTTTGAGTCCTGCCTGGGTAACTTAGTGTCTAAGCAAGAACTCATCTCAAAATAAAAAGGGCTCAGTGCAGAGGCCTGGGTCCAATGGAAAAAAAAAGTAATGAACAAAAAAATGGGGGAGTTCAGCTCCCTCCTGCTCTCTTACCTTGTATCATGGGATGATGCGACAAGAAGGCCAGATCAGATGCCACAGCCATCCCCTTTGGACCTCCCAGCCTCTAGAACTGTGAGCCAAATAAATTTCTGTTCATTGTAAATTACTCAGTCTCAGGTATTCTCATACAGCAGCACGAATGGACTAAGGCAGAGAGGAAGTGATAGCATTCTGTGAATACTCCTTGGAATTCTTTTTAAGAGAAGTGGTCTTCTTGTCTTCCCATTTCCTCTTTCTTGTGGCTGGAATTCAAATGGGATGGCCAGAGCTTGTGCAGCCATCTTGGGCCATGAGTTGGCTTATTAAAAATGGCAGAGTATGCAGCAAGACAGAATGTTGGCCCGGTGGAGCTTACAAACCAGCCCTAAACTGCGGACTCTGGCTTCTTTCATGCCACAGAACTATCCTTGTTTAAGATGTTTTACCAGGACTCTGTTATTTGCTGAGACAAGGGCCAAGAACTCAGAAGTGCCCACAAAAATGGGACATCCCCATTTCTGTGTTGGGATGTGTCTGAGTGAGAAGTAGGAGTGAGACGGGAATACTGGTGCCCGACTGTAATAATGAACAATGCCTGATAGGCAGTAGGTCCTTAAGACATCCTAGCAACCGAGTTTATGGACATACTCCTCTGACAGGTGCGGGCTGCTAAATGTAGATGAAGAAATTGAGCTACAGGGAGGGAAGGTGACTTGCCCAAGGATACACAGCTCTTCCTGGGACACGGATCTAGGCCTGGTTCTAAAGCCCGATCTCTGGAGAGAAAAACACCTGGGGAGGGAGCACTGCTGAAACCATTCTCATTTTAGGTGAGGAGGGTGAAGCCCAGAGACGGGGTGCAGGTTTGCTCAGTGACACATATCCCGTGAAGAGCAAAGCCCATGCTTTCCTTGGAGGAGCAGGTATGGGAGCTGCTGAGCTCGGGCTGCCCCTGGAATGGAGCCCTGTACTCTCCACACCCTATCCTGGGGACCCACCTTAGCACCAAAGGCCAACCCAGGATGGAGCATGGATTAATGCCACCACTGTGGGAGTGGACTGAAGGGGACAGGAGCACTCCAGGGGGCTGGCGCTGGGACTCTCAGGAAGCTGCACCAAGACCCCCTGGTAGCACCTGCCTTACCCCAGGCATGACAGATCATGCCAGGTAATCAAGTGACTTTTCAAGAAGACAGAAAGATGATTCTCTACACAGCTTTGTTATTTTCTCTCCACCGGCACCTGTCTGCCTCCTGTTCCTTTCCCACAAACACTTTAAAACAGTTCTCCATGAGAACACACACATCTAAGCAGCTGTTCGGGTCTGGGGTTCAGAGTGGAGGTCACGGTGGGGCTGGGGCCCTTCTGCAGGATGAGGCACAGTTAGTGACTGTGTGGCACCAGAAAGAAGCTACATCTGAACTCTGAGAAGTGGGTCCCAGCCCTGGCTCTGGCTCCTACTGGGAACTGGGTGGTTCTCACAGTTTCCTGAATTGCAGCTTCCCCATCTGTAAAGTGAGGGTCACAACCTTGAAGTGTGCTGCAGAGTTCAAGGGCCTGATCTTGGTAGAACAGTGTGTGCACTGTGTCGCACTGTGATGTCCTACATAGACCCAAAGCACTTTCACAGAGACACCACCAGATCTGAGTTAGTGAGGTCCAAACTCAAAGCATTGGTAGGGAGAAATAATACATGCATGTCACAAAGAATAGTGCCTGGCCTGTAGCAGGCACTCCATAAATACATGTACCCTTACCCTGGTTTCTTTCCTTCCTTCCTCTTTTTTAAAATATTTTTTTTGGTGGTACCAGGGATTGAACCCAGGGCCTTCACACTGAGGTACATCCTCAGCTCTTTAATTTTTTTTTTTTTAAATTTTGATTCCGAGTCTTGCTAAATTGCTAAGTTTCCCAAACTGAGCTCGAATTAGTTTCCCAGGAGGCTTCCTAGTCCTCCCTTGACCCCTCTCTGCTTCCTGCCTGCCATACCATGGACTGTTTCTCCTCTGCCAAGCCACCCTACCTTGGAGTCAGCCGAATACAGACGGACACTTCTGCAAACTGTGAGCTAAAATAAGCGTCTCCTCTAACTTCTGGGTGTTGGGTATTTTGTCCTTACAAAGAAAAAGTAACTAAAACAGTCTCCAGACACCTTTTTAATGTTGGTGAAAGGCCAGTGCCAGGGCCCTGTGGTAACAGGTCAGGAAGAAAGGGAGCTGTTTTTGGCTGCTTGGTACTGCTGACTCCAAATAGAAATTCTACCACGCAGCTGTCCCCAGACACACAGCTCCAGCCCTCCTCTGCCCAGCCCAGACCCTGAGCTGCCATTCTGCACAGACTCAGGAGGGAGAAGCTGCTGTCTCAGCTCTGACTGTTCCGTTAGCAGCAGATGACAGCACAGGGGCGACATGGGCTTAGAAGAGAGTCAGCCGAGCTGTGGAAGGTTCTGGTGTGGCTGGCGTTCAATGAAGCTTCCAACCTGGGCGCTTGGATGCATGCTGAACATCGCTACCTAGTATGCTAGTGCCGAGGAGCCTTTCTTGATGCCCCATGTGGTTGGGGACCCCCTGACTGATCCAGGCCTCAGTAAACTTTCAGTGTCAGCTGTTTATGCAACTGATTTGCTGATAGGCTGGGAGCTTGAGTAAGGTGGGGCCACTTGTGACAGGCTTGTTTCCCTCACCAGCCCTGCACATCATGGGATCCAGGTCACCTGGACCTACCAGGCCCCTGGCTTCCTTCACCTCTTGGGGCTCAGTTCCCTCCTCTGTAAAGTGGGACTAGTGAGGTGGACATAGTGGGGCATGTCTGAAATCCCAGCACTCTGGGAGGCTGAGGCAGGAGGATGGCAAGTTCAAGCCCAGTGTGGACAACTAAGTGAGACCATCTCAAAAATTAAAAAAAGGGCCCAGTGTGAAGGCTCTGGGTTCAATCCCCAGTAAAAAAAAAAAAAGAGGACTGCACCAGGGGGCCTGGTGGGAGGACTCGCTGATAATACACAGAACAGGCTTTCTGGTAGAGGCAGAGTCGGCTCTCTAGGCCCCAACTGTAGGAACACCGGCAGCACAAATGCGTCGTTAAGGGCCCAGGGTCGGAAGCAGGTTCCTCAGGCTCACAAGTCACAGGCGGTGTCACCTTCTGCAGCCTCAGTTTCTGCACCTGTACAGTGGGTTACGGAGCTGTCATGGGATGGCATCATGTATCACACAGTAGATCTTGGCAGAGTGTGCAGCAGTGCCCGGCCGCGCTGGCCATTGTCAGTACTGAGGGTCTGGTTGGTGCCCAGCCCTTTTAGGTGCTCTAGATGCCAAGTGATGCCTGCTCTGGGAAATGAAAGTCTTGCCCTGGGCTGGGGCCCCCAGAAACCTCACCGGGTCTGTGGGTTTCAGCCAGCCGGAATGAGGGGGCAGCTTCCTCTTCTTCAAGAAAAACAGGAGGGCCACCCAGAGGCCATGGTAATTACTTCTAATTACCCGGAGGAGGAAAGCACTGGTTTTGTGCCTCCTAATGTGATAAAGAGCTATTATTAGGCAGGAGCTGGGAGGCTGCCATGCAACAGCCAGTGAGGAGGGAGAGAGTCTGGATGCAGCTGGTCATAAAGGCAAAGAAAGGAAGAGGATGGCAGTTGCAGGAAAGGAGCGAGCTGGATTAAATGAGGACCTACTACTTGCAAGCATCTTACTTACAAAGGTTCCTCCCTTTTCATAGATAAGGAAATGAAGGCCAGAGAAGTTAAGTAGCTTGCCTAAGGGTCACACAGCTGGGAGTCTAAACCAGGCCAAAGGCTGTGCTCTTCCCATGGTATCCCATCCACAGCTTCTGGGGGCAGAAACAGGATCTATTCTTTCCACCAGTGCTGGGGATGGAACCCAGGGCCTTGTGTGTGCTAGGCAAACATGCTGCTGCTGAGCTGCAGCCCAGATCCCTGAAACTGCATTGTGCAAGAGCTCTGTGGCATGAAGAGGAGCTTTTAGTTGCTCCTTTTTTTGTTCGTTTGTTTTTGTTTATTTTGGTACCCAGGACTGATCTCAGAACCTTGTGTTTGTGATGCAGGCGTGGCGCCACCCAGCTGAATCCTTGGCCCATGGCTGCTCCTTTTGATGATTCCTTCAGCTGAGGAGACTCCTGGTGAAGCACAGTTCCCACCGCTGTTGCCCCACATAGGGGTAGGACCCTCAGATAGCACACCGGCACTAGGTGCCGGTCGGGAGGCATCACTTTGAGTCTGTGGCTTCCTGGCCTTGTGACCCAGCTTTCTTCCATCCCATAGGGAGGTGGACAGCACAGGCTTTGCACCTTCAAGGCCAGATTCTGGCCTTGAGCCTATCCTTGAAGTTTCCAGCATTCTCCTTGGCGAGTCGGGGTGCATGGGATGCAGGTGGGGTTTATGTCTCCTGTGTCAGGTGCACCAGGAACAGAGTGACCCCAAGACCAGCAGCTCCAGCGTGTGCTCAGAAGACAGAGCGGAAGGTCTGGTAACCCCGGAGCTCCCACGGGTGGGGGGCTGGGGTTGGTCAGCCCTGCTGCTCAGGTGGGTGAGGCCTTGCACGAGCAGGTCCTGGGAATGTGTGAAGAGGCAGTTGAGGTGAATTGGTACAGGCAGCCTGATGGCAGATGGAGCAAGAGGCCTGCTGGCTCCAGGCAGGGGCATGGCTATGGGCTTTGTGGGCAGCAGTGCCAGGCAAAGCTTCCGTTCTGTTTCGTCCCACTTCCTCTATGTGACTGGCAGTGTTCAGTCAGGTTTCTGAGGACAGGCAGGTGGCTGAGGTCACAGTAATGGGGTGGATGCAAGTGACCTGTGGGGCCCAGCTCCATGGGCCATCAAGGTGGTGGGGAGAGAAGGGGGGTGGGAGCAGCTGTTGATGCAGAAGAGAGAAGCCAGATCCCCCCTCCCCCACAGGGGGTCAGGGACCTGTTGGGTGCCCAGGAAGGGTCTTCGTGTCCATTATAAGGCAGGATGGTGCTGCTCAAACTACTGTGATATAGAAACAGGTTCTGCCAGGAAGCTCTTGGCACCTGATGCAACAGCAGCCAAGGATGTAAGAAGTGCACACGAAAGTCCTGGTTCCCCTGTCCTCATGTACCACCATTTCCATGGGTGGGGGTCGGCCTGAGGGAGCAGCTGTGCCAGGGCCCTTTCCTCCAGTACCGGGCACCTCTCTCTCTGCTTCTCAAATCTCCCTGAGCCAGGGCAAGGACCACTGGCCTCAGAGCTGGGTTTGAGTTCTGCGTGGCCGTGTTCCAGCAGTGTGACCTAGGCAAGCCCCTGGGTTGTCCCTAAGCCTCAGTGCCCTCCCTGTACAATGGGACACTACAGCCTGAAAAGTCCCGATGGCTGAGGCAGGATGGAGAGCTGTCCACACAGGAGTCGACCCCCCGACCCCTCTACAGCGTATGGGAGGTGGACACAGTTCCTTTCGTTCCTTTGTGTTTGAAAGGTGATCTAGAGATTGTAAAATTTTTTCTTTCTTTTCTTAAACTTTATTTTTGTTTTTGAGGCAGGGTCTCACTATGTAGTTCAGGCTGGGCTTAAACTCACTAGGTAGCTCAGGCTGGCCTCGAACTCATGGTGATCCTCCTGCCTCAGCTTCCTGAGTACTAGGACTACAGGTATGTACCACCATACTAGCTTCATGTTTACTTATTGGTGGTACTGGGTATTGAACCCTGGACCTACACACTGAGCTACAAACCCAGCCATTTTTATTTTGACACAGGGTCTCACTAAGTTGCCCAGGCTAGGCTTGAACTTAGAATCCTCCTGCCTCAGCCTCCTAGAGTGCTGGGATTACTGGCATGCACCACCATGCCTAGCTGAGATCTGTATTTTAAATCAAATCCCCTGATGATGGGCTCAGATCTACATCTTATCCTACGAGTGGGCAGTCAGGTGCCTCTGCCTGGGTCCCCCACCTGAGTCTCTGCCTGCCCTGGTTGTTCCTGGAGAGATGGACCAGTCTGACTGCTTTGCAGTGGAGGAGCCGGGGAGGGCAGTGATGTGGGGGCCAGAAAGTGGGTGCTGCACGATCAAATCCAGCCCTGTGAATTACTAGTTGTGAGTCAGGAACTTTTCTCATACCTGAGCTGTGAGTTGGGGACTGGAGCGTGTGAGCCGAGGTGCAGGGGCTGGGGACAGGGTGCACAGGAGGAGGGTGCCTGGAGTGAGGGAGCTGCCCTGCCGAGCAGATTCTCGTGGTTTCCCTCCTGCATCCAGGGCAGAGCGGGCTGGGGCCACTGTCTCCAGGGGCCAGGGATGGCTGGGCGGGGTAACCAGGTGCCCCTGCAACACCGGGAAAACGCAGAGCCTGGGGAGGGGCAGGCCCACACTCACCACCGAGGACAGGTCCACGTTCTCCATCCTGCGGTCCTGCAGGAGCACGGGCTGCAGGCCGGCCACACGGAGCTGCACCGACGACGTGCGGTACACGAAGCGCAGCAGCCAGTCTCCCCTGGGGGTGGGGACAAGAGTGACATCAGCCTTAGCAAGGACAGGCTGGGCCCTGACTGCCCCCTGGAGAGCCTGGTGGGACTTCATTTTCTGCAGAAAACCAGAACTGTGCAGTCCTGGAAGCAGCAGCAGCTGACACGTGGAGCCAGCTGGGGCAGGGGCAGGCACAGCACCATGGTGGATCCACAATTGCTCCAGGAGGCTGCCTGGTTTGGTCCCTGCTGGGTCCCCAGAGGCAAGAACAGTGTCTGGCATGCAACAGATGCATATTTGTTGACTGAAGAGGCAATTTTTTTTTTTTGGTACCGGGGATCTAACTCTGGACCTTGCACTTGCGCGGCAGGTGCCGGAACCACTGAGCTAAATTCCTGGCCCCTGAAGAGGTAATTTAAAAAATTTTTGTGGTACTGGGGATTGAAGCTAGGGCTTTTGCACTGAGCACATCCCTAGCCCTCCCACCCCGGCCCATCCACAGGAAGACCCTAGGGCCACTCTGTGTGGACCACTATGCGGGTCGCAGCCTGGGGATGCTAGTCCTCTCTCATGGGTGCCAGGGGCCATGTCCCTGCCCCTCCACAGCTCCAGAGGACACAGCCTTGACCCCACTGCCCATCTCTGAGGGCAGCGTCCCAGGGTCTCACAAGATGTCCCTTCTCGGCCTCCTGATCCTTGTCCCCAGGGAAGCGGGCGGCCACCTGCCGTGCACATGGGCCTCGCCCTGCAAGTCCACACATGCGCATGTCTCTCTCCCTGAGACCAGAACTGAGGTCTGGCGCAGCACAGCTGGCTGTGTCCCCTTTACAGGACCAGTCCTATCTGCTTTGCCCACAGGCTGTTGTTTTAGGGGGTCTGTGGAAAAGGGCCCCCCTCACTGTGTGTGCGTGTGGGGGGAGGCTGGGAGGCAGGAGGCTGCCTTAGACTGCCTGGGGTCCTGGTTTTTTTCTTTTCTTTTTTTGGTACCAGGGTTGAACTCGGGAGACCTTGCACTTTCCAGGCAGGCGCTGGAACCATTGAGCTAAATCCCTGGCCCTTCTTTTTGTTTTTTATGGTAGTGTGGATTGAACCCAGGGCCATCACACGGAGCCCTTATTTACTTTTCATTTTGAGATAGGGTCTCCCTGAGTTGCTAAGTTGCTCAAACAGGGCTCGAACTTGCGATCCTCTTGCCTCAGCCTCCCTCCCAGAGTGCTAGGATAACGGGAGACATCTGCCTCAGTCCTCCCCACTCCCTCCTTACCTATCCCTTCTGCTCCAGCCTCCAGCCCTGAGATGGGACCCCCCCCAACAAAAGCCAGAGCCTCCTCCCTCTCCCAGCTCTGGCCGCCCCTCTCTAGCCACTGCAGCTTCCCAACACCCATTTGACCTGGGCCCTCCTCCCTAGAAGCTGACCGTGGCTCCCTGCTGCCTAAACACCTTCTCTTCCTGATAATTCCTTAACTCTCCAGAGAACAATGCTTTCCAGTCCTGATGATTAGCTTAACACAAAAGAGCCCAGCGGCACTTCTAGAAGGGACAGCAATGGGGAGGAGAGAGACACTGAAATCAGACTGCTTGACCTCAACATAAAACGGCTGCATCGAATCCTGGAGGCAGGATGGGCTGTAAATGTCTCTGATCTAGATATAAATAAAGACGGCATCTTCCTGCCATGTTATTTCTGTTTTAATTAAGACAGCACTTGATATGTTAATTACTCTTACGCAGACACATTTAGGGACAGAGCATGGAATATGTTTTAAAGGTTTCACATCCACTCTACTATGCTGAGCAAACCACAGGGCCTTTGCTGGTATTGAAAATCCTTCTCCTTCTGGCTCTGGACCACACAAGCCAGGCTCAGATCCTGTCTTGTCCATTCCAGCTGTGTGACCTTGGGGAAGCTGCTTGACCTCTCTGAGCCTGTTTCCTCATCTCTCAGAGTCGTGCGAGTGTCAGCTGAGACTATGTACATGTATATACAGCTGCTGAGCATGTCTCAGGTGTGATTGTTAGCTCCCAGACAAGGCCCTCAGTGTCTTGGCCAATGCTTCCCTTCTGATGGGCTCTTAGACACACCCTTTCGGAATTCAGCTTGGGTGTCACCTGCTCCAGGGAGTGCCCCAGCACCTGTATTGTCAGTCCTCAGCCCTCATATGGTACCCGGAACTTGTTCCTTTTGTGATGTTCACCTCATGGCCTCCTGTGTGCAGGTTCCTGGGTTGGTTGTCTTTCCCTCCAGGACCAGCCAGGACTGCCCCAGGTCACCACTGTCTCCTAAGCTGAGCCTGGCCCTGCCTGTGGTCCAGGGCAAGTCTCTGTCCCCTCTCCCAGCTTCCTTTCCTGGAGGGAAGGGGACAGGGTGCAGCACCACTCCACCCAGGGGCCATGGGAGGCCAAGACAGGGGTCTGCAAAGAGTTAGTGATGAAAGTGTGCATTTATCAATACACACAGCCGGTCGTGTTGACCTGAGTCCCCTTCCCACTCGCTTCTCCCCTCAAGTTTAAGTTCACAGCAACTAAAAGACCAAGAATCAGAGCTCCTGGTTGGTGCTTAATTGGAACAAGAATCTACAGTGATGGTTTGGGTCTGTGTGCTTCCTCGCCTGCCCCTGTGAGACATGGCCTAGGGTCTCATAAAATAATTGAAAACCAGGCTTGTTAGCCTTCAGTTTTCAACAGAACAGATGGGTTTAATAAGATTTTGGTGCTTTTATATGGCACACATGCAATTTTAATGCTTTCCTTTGCTTATTTACAAAATGTACCAAAAAATCACGTGTTGAGTGACTATGCCCAGTAATAAATATAACTGCTGTCACTTATTGGGCACCTACTAAGTGGCAGCCCTCTCCCTTCATCATCTTCCCTGGGCAGGAGGGACTATTATTCCTATTTATAGGCAGGGACACTGAGATCCAGGGAAGCTGTCCAAAGCCAACCAGAAGGTAAATAGCAGAGCCAAGATTTTAACTTAAGACTGTCTGACATCAAAGTCTTTGTCTATTCTCTTTTAAACCACCTTACTTAAAAAAAAAACCAAAGTCTCTGTTATAGCATACATTGTCTCTGTCGAATCCTAGGGAGCCCCTGCTATTGTTTTGTGGTTCTCCCGGAGCTTGACCGTGCATGTGTGGACACCCACAGGTACACGTGTGTGCAAAGAGATGTTTTCCCTCCTAAGCCCAAAAGGGATCACGGCATAAACTACTGTACTTGCCCTCTGACCCTGTTATAGTTCAAGTCTAGAAGTCCCACCAGAGCCTCATGTGGTCATAGGTGGGGCTTTTTGAAGGTGGCCAGATCTAGAGTGCGTGATGCTGGGATCAAAGGTGTGTGATTACTAAATCAGGCCACCGATTGGTTTGGTATAGTTCTGGGTAGGACTAGGGGTGTGTAGGCTGAATAAGATATAAGGGACGGAAAGAGGGCTGCTGGTTTTTGCTTGTAGCTTGCTGCCTTCTTCCTGCCATGGGCTGTTTCTCCCTGTGATGCCCCTCTATTGTGCCACCTTGCCTTGGAGCCAGCCCACTAAACCTCTGTGAGCCAAATAAACCTCTCTTCCTTTAACTTTGGGTGTTGGATATTTTTTCTCAGCAATGAGAAAAATAACTAAGACAGCCCTTAACTGTACCTATTTACGATCATCTAGGCTGTTTTTAAAAATTCTAATTATAAATAAAGCTGCAATGATCCTCTGTATAGTTTGTATTTATTTCATTAATAAGAGGCTGGATATCTTTTCAAAAGTTTACCAACTATTCGTATTTATTCTATGTGTGTCAATATCCTTTGGCCATTTTCTTATTAGGTTTTTTTTTCTTATTGATTTGCACCATTATGGCTCTGTATCTTTTGTTTCTTGGTTCTCTTGACCATATCCTGATTTTGAGACTCAGTTTAGAATATGAGTGATGATTCCCCATGACCTGGTTAATGCCCTGCATACAGGATTATAAACCTGAGCTACTCAGATACTAGACTATTGCCACAGGTCAAATCATCCAAATCATAAAGGCTTTGCAAATCAATTCTAGTTAGCTTTGGATGGCTGAGATTAAATCAAAGTTAACCAGCCTCATCAGAGCAAACACTAGTTACTAACAAAGGAGGAAGATAAAAGAAAAATACCTTTTGGGATGAAAATTTTACAGCATATGATTAAAAATGTAGTAATCCAACACAGACAATGGTGTGACGGTAGCATCATAAATTCTTGATGAATAAAACCTGAATGTAAACTCCACAAGGGGTGGGGATTTTAGTCTGTTTTGTTCAATGTCAAAGAGAATAGAGGGAGGTAAAGGAGACTTTCTAGTTTGAGGGCAACCAAAGCAGCCCTCAGTGCCTAGCACATAAGATGCACTCTCTAAGGGGCTGAGGAAGGAAAGTAGTTTTGATTTTTGTGGGTTTTTTGGGTACTGAAGATTGAACCCAGGCCACCACAGACCTACACCCCCAAATGTCCTATGGACGTCCTGTCCTGGAAGGGAGAGGAACTCTCAGAGGCCTGCTGGTCTTTTCCAAAGTAATCAGAATGGCCTGAAAGAAATATTCTCATCCTGGCCTGAGCTTGGGCAGGTGAGCCAACCTCAGTTTCCTCATCTGTGAAATGGCATTAATAATACTAATACCACAAGGTTTGGAGAAGAGAGAAGGAGATAATTACAACAAAGACGAGGCCTGGCAGGTGTTGGACTCTAATCCCCCCCACTCCTGACTACTGCCTTATGACATTTTTAGCTTTCTTTTTTTTTTTTGGTACCGGGGATCGAACTCGGGTCTTTGCGCTTGTATAGCAGGCGGCGAAACCACTGAGCTAAATCCCCAGCCCCAGTTTTAGTTTTTAAAAAAAATTTTTAAACCTGTATTTCCACACGTGTCCTTTCCCTGAGCTGTGGGCTCCTCTCATCTTGTTTACCTTTGTATTCTCATGCCTGGCATAAGGTGCTTGGGCACAATTGTGGGATTTTTTTTCTTTTTGAGGTATGTTGTTCAGTGCTATGTTGGCCAGACTGGTCTTGAACTCCTGGCCTCAAACAATCCTCCTGCCTCAGCCTCTCAAATATGTGTAACCTGGGATTACAGGTTACTACGATGTACGACGATGTCTGGCTCTGCTGGATGCTCTTTTTCCTTTCAGCACTGGGGATAGAACCTGGGGTGCTCTACCACTAAGTTATATCCACGACCCTTTTTATTTTTTGTTTTGAGACAGGGTCTTGCTAAACTGACCTTGAACTGGTCCTGCTTCTGCCTCCTGAATAGCTGGGACTACAGGTGAGCACCACAATGGCTGGCCTGTTGAATGCTTTTGAGGCACAGGCTGGAGCCTCCTTCTCCCATCCTGGAATAAATTCCTCAGAAGTGCAGATCCAGGGCTTTGCCTGCCAAATGACCTCACCTGTCTGTCCCTCAGCTTGAGCTGTCACCAAAAGTGGCCAGGTCCATGGCCTCATTCAATCTTTCCTGATTATTTTTTTAATTGTAAATGTTGAAGTTGTGTAAACAGAGCCAGTCATGTCTCATAAAAGCTTTGGAGTTCTTTTTAATTCCTTATTCTTTTTTGCCCCCTGCAACAAATCACCCAACCTTACTGTTTTTTTCTTTTTTTTTTTTTTGGCACCAGGGATAGAACTCCAATCCTTGTGCTTGCACAGCAGGTGGCGAAACCACTGAACTAAATCCCCAGCCCCCCTACTGTTTCTTAAAAGCCAAATTATCCTCTGGCTTCATCTTCTCTGAACAACAGCATCCTGTGGTTTTGTGGCAATGGCCCCCAAAATATGGGCTCCTTGGGGGACTTTTTGTACTTCCAAATTCATAATGTTTTGGATTTTATAAAAGTCAGCTGGCCTGTGGCCCGGGTATTACAGAATACTTTCCTTTCCAGCCCCGTGGCCGTCAGCCTTTGAAGCCCCCTCCCTCTTGCTGGAGGGTCTGTCCTACCATCTGGGTCCTGGCTTGCCCCTTATGGCAGCCACCTATCTAGCCACCCTGCCCCTGTGGTCTGGGAGCTCGGCCTGCCCCCTCCACCCCTCTTCTACTATCAACAGCGAACACCAGAGCTGACTGTCTCACCCCAAGGCCTTGAGTTTGGACTATCCCTGTTCGCCAGGCTCAGGTCCCACACTTTTGTGTCCCCCTTTCCCCAGCCACAATTGTGTGGAGCCACCCCAGCCTCTCCTATCAATCTGCAAGCAGCCTCAGGCCTGACACAGGGCCATTTCAGGATCTTCTCCGATGTCAGGTGTCCAGTGGGGCCAGATGCTTCCCACATTGGAATGTGCAGTCCTGGCCTCATTCCTAACACACCAGAGCCTGACGGCTCCTGGGATCTTCCAGGATAGGCCTCAGACACTCATTTCCAGCACTCAGCCTGGGCACACGAAGTGGTTCCCCATTGGCACATTGTGGACAGACCTGGAGTAGCCATTGATGATCCTCCCAGACACCACCTTCCGGAAGGGCTTCCAGTGCTTGGGGTCTCCTTCTACTGGCGCACCCAGCAGCACCACGTCCTCGATGATCCCTTGGCAATCTGGAGCGAGACCCAGAAAAGGTCATCAGTGTCTCTGGCTGCAGTGCGTCCTAGGAGGGTCTCTCCACCGGCAGTGAGGGAGAGGAATGTCATATACACCACACATACACAAGCTCACACATACACGCACAGTAATGGGGCTTCTGCTTACTGGGTCTGGGCCCTGAGTCAAGCCCTCTTGTGCCTGATCTATTCCTGCAAAGCGTCACGGTCACTATTTTAGGGTTAAGAGAAACCCAGGGCATCTTCAAGCTCACACATAGAGTCAGTGACACAGCCTGAATTGGAACCAGATCTCTCTCCACTGTCCCTGAAGCTCACACCTGCTATGCCTGTGGACGGGCTGTCCTCCTGCAGAGACACCAAGTGTCCCTGTGTCATGGCAGGTGAGAGATGCTACCGTCTCCCTTTGCCATGGGGCTCCTGGGAGGTCTGTGCGGCTGGGGGAAGAAGCGAGTGAGGAGAGTTGGGGAACAGTATGGGGTGGGTAGCACACTGGTCTACTGACTCAGGGACATTCTAGGTCAGGGCCACTCAGAGTGCCACCTGTGTGTCCTCTAAGCCCAGAATCAGAAGAACTGGGTCTTGGAGCAGACTGGAAACCAACAGCCTGCAGATTGCTCTCTGAGAAGCGCTGCTCCAGACAGATGAAAGGTGCACACACCCCTCACCTTGGCAGTACTCCTTCCTGTTTTCTCGTCTGATAACGAAACACGTGCTTATCTCCTCTCTTCTCCTCTAACACCAAGGCAAGCGAGGGCAGACACTCCAGCAGCCTTTTCACAGCAGTGTGGCCGGCCTAGGACTGTAGCTGGTACAGACTGGGTGCTCAGTAAGGAACGGGATGGATGAGGGAATGGCAAATACATAAACTGCTGTCCACCAGGAAAGCCAGCGAATGGACTTTGACACCAGTTCTGTCGCTTCTGAGCTCTGTCACTTGAGCCAAATTACTTAACTTCTCCTAAAAGAGGACGATGGTAAAGATCCTGGGCCTGTGGGTCTATAAGGATTAGGTCACAGTGCAGGGAAGAAGCCAGCATAGTGAACAAACAGAGGAAGTCAGCACCTGCCCTGTGCTTCCTTTGGAATCCCAGTTCCTGCACATCCTGGGGAGCCGCACATGCAGGTGGTCCCTGGAGAATGTGTCCTAGTGGGATGGCTTTGTTTGGCTCTGCCCACTCTTTGGTGAGTGACATGGGGTGGCTTCTTTTCTCTGGGCCCCAGTTTCTGACCACAGTGTTGGTGTTTCCTGTTCAGCTTCCAGGTCAGAGCTTTTGAATGAAGGGTTCTAGGTGCATGAGAGTTTGGGAACCTAGAGAGAACCAAGCTCTCTGATCACTCCCTGGCTCTGAGGTTAGAGGAGTTTGTGGCACAGAACTGACCTCACTCCTGCTTCCAGGGAGATAATGCTCTGGCAGAGGGCTTAATCCTTGGAGTTTGTGCTCAGAGTCTGCTCCCTGTGAGGGGTTTCAGGTAGTTGTGTTGCTGGCAAGGCCGAAAGGGCCCTGAGAGATCAAAGAGATTTCACTGCAGCAACTTCCCTCAGCAGATAAGGAACTGGACTCAGAGAGGGGGTGGGGCTCAGCCCAGGTCACACAGCAGAGACACAAGGTGAGACCAGAACCCAGGCCACATGGAGAGCTGCCAGGTACTTGGGGCCAATCTCTCTGCTGTTGCAGTAACCACAAGCACAGGGCTCACATGTGGGTTATGGTTGCTCACAGTGCCAAAAGGATTCCAGGTGACGACAAGGCTGGCAGCTCTCTCTGGAGCTCAGGGTACCCTCTCTGCCCAGTTGAATCTGGCTCACTGGAGAGCCACATTTCAGCCCTGGTGCTACTGCAGGAGGCCCGGGCCCCCTTCTGGTCAGCAGTGGTAACAGGAGAATTCTTGAGCAACTGCTCGAATCGACAGAAAGCAACTAGGAAAAGCAAAACAAAACAAAACAAAAAAAAGGCCTGTGACCTCGAAGTAAGCCTTGCAGTTGAACCTTATAAAATAGTCCAGAGAGCAGGCAAACCAAGCCAGGGCGGCCGGTGAGCTGGAAATGCATTTTCCCTTCTCTGAAGCTGACGGGGAGCTGCTTTCCCGGTCAGCTGTGCTGGGTGACGGGGCTTTGCGGGCTGCATGGTTGTAAACCTGGAGAGAGGCTTCATGGCTGGCTCTTAGCGATGCACAGGTGTGAGCTAGCAGAAGCCAGCAGGAAGCACCCTAGAGGGAACCGCATAGGAAGTCAGAGCCCAACTCCCACAGGTCCCAGGAGTGGGACCCTGAGGAGGGAAACCTGCCTTGGGCAAGGAAGACATTGACTATAGTAGCTGCTGGGAAAGAAAAAATAAATCTGAATCCACTGCTTGGTCTCAAAACTTATATTATCAAAGATTTCAGCCTTCTAGACAATATACAGAAAATCCTCCCTCCAGTTCCATTTTCAGGGTCCAACAGGCGCCATGATCTCTGGATCATCCGCCTGAGAAGAGCCAGCCGCCTTTCTGCTGTAGGGGCGCAGTGTTTGCCAAAACATGTTTGGATTTATCCCTGCTGCTGCCATCAGCTTTGCCTCTTGTAAATTTTAAAGCTATCAACCTCACCCCACACCTTTATAAATATTCAGATTTTGATGTAGAAGAGGGTGGGGATCATCTTCAAGTTCAGGAGTCAGAGACACGTGCAGCCTTTGCCTGGATTTCCCATTTTTAAACAGTTCTCTGCATCTTATTAACATCTGCTTTTACTGGCAGAGCTGGCAGGCTTTCATCCTGTTATAACTTTAGCACTGAGGAGGCGTCAAACCTCTGGGAGTTAAAAAAAAAGAAAGGATTATAAGTCCCTTCTTTACCCCTCCACCCTCAGGACTTCCTGTCAATCACATGCACAGTGAAACACGTGTTTTCCAATACCCCCCTCCCTCTCTCTCTCTCTTCTCCAGTTCTTGAGATCGATCCCAGTTCCTTTGGAGCCCTTTTTAATTTTCTATTTTGAGTCAGTGTCTCACTAAAGTGCTCAGATGGGGCTCCAAGTTTCAATCCTCCTGCCTCAGCCTCCCAGGGTGCTGGGATTACAGATGTGTGCCACCATGCCCAGCTTGCTTTTACCACCTTCTTTTATTCTTTCACACGGGATCCAGACCCATCCATTTACAATGTAAGTCATGGACATGAGGTGTTTTTCTGGGGTGGTGGTAATGGTTGCACAACTCAGTATATTTCCTAAAAATCACTGAGTTATACACTTAAGAGTGGGCAAATCTTGTGGTTACACTGAAGCATAGCAGGATCATGTTACCTCTATGCTTGAGTCCTCTCATGGAGTCTAATTAAGGTCATCACGATGGCCCCAGAAGCCCTGCATGACTTTGCTGCTCTTCCCCTCAATCATATTCACATGCTTCCCTCCCTCCCCTCCCAGCTCTGCTGTCCCCCACAAGGACAGTTCAAGGCAATCTCCCACCCTTACCCGGTGCCCCAGCCCCTTGTCTGCTTTACTTTTCTCCATCACATGGGTCACTATCTGATTGCGGCCCAATTTTCTTTTTAAAGTCTTACTGGTGAATGTTGAGTTCTGCAGGGCTGGGATTATTGTCTTTGGGTTTACCACTTTGTGGCATGCATGTGGTGCTCCATTAGTGTGTGTGGAATGAATGAAAGAAAGGAGACTCCACAGTATGAAACCTTCATGCTGAGAATAAATGCAAGGTGTGTGTGTGGGTCTTTCCCTGCTGTTCTCACCTCCTGGCACAAGTTCTTCCTGGCAGCTATGGCTGGGGATCTCTGAACACTGGAAAAAGCAAATGGAGAGTGCTAACTCTGCTGACAGTACCCAGAAGAGCATTTAACGTGCCCCTCTGCTCTTCAGCCGCTCATTTGTAGAGCTTTGTTCTGGGCCAGTGACCCCTCCTGTGAAAGACAGCAGCCTTCAGCGGGGCGGGCGGCGAGGAAATGAAGGGTCCTGAAAGCCAACCCTGCCTTAGCCTCCTCCCCAACCTCAGACTGAGATTTGGAGGCTCAGGCCCCCGCCCCCCCCCGCACCTAACAACCACCACAGAGTGTAGCTTCTACCTCGCAGGCACAGCCTATGTGAAAAGGAGGCTCAGGGTTCCCCGACCTCTTGGCTGATGTGTGACAGAGCTCAGGGGGCCTAATCTCTGGGGGCAACGATCCAGAGTGACAATAGGGCCTGAGAAGCCATCTGGGCACCAACCTGACACCAGTTAAACATTTCTAAAGTCTCAGAATCGACGATCATGGTTCTAAGACTGTGTGCATATGCTGTTATGTATCCCAGAATTCCTGGATTCAGAGTAACAAGTCTCATCCCTCCCCTCCCCCTCCCTCCCTCCCTTCCTTAAGAACTGGGGGTGGAACCCAGGGCCTTGCATCTGTGAGGCAAGTGCTCCACCATATTTTCTCCATCAGTCAGTCAACACTGTAGCAGGACTACTTGCACGTGTAGTCTCATGCTTGTCATCGGAAAAGGGGTCCTGTACTCAAAGCCTGGAAAGCACCAGTGCTTAGCTTTTGGCATAAGAGAAATTTGGATTCAAATCTTGCTTATGCCACTGTATTAACTGAGGTCAGATCTTTAAGAACTTGGAGGCTCGGCTTTCTTATTTGTAAAATGGAGATGCAGGTTGGGTATCCCTTCTCTGAAATGCTTGAGTGTTTCTGATTTTAGAATATTTACATATACATATTGAGATAATCCAGGGATGAGACCCAAACACCAGATTCACTCATGTTTCATATACATCTTATACACATAGCAAAAGGTAATTTTATTCTTGTAGCAGACTTGTGTTGTGCCTTAGTCAGGTGTGGGATTTTTCACTTGTGGCATCATGTGGGCATTCAAAACATCTTGAGTTTTGGAGCAGTTTGGATTTCAGATCTTTGGATCAGGAGTGCTGAACCTATCAGATAACACTCCTGATTTCCTAGGCCCTGGTTGTGTGCATGGGATGGAGTCTGACACACAGCTGGGCAGTGTCTGCTTTGCTC